GACGCGGGGTTCGAACTCATAGACCGTGAGATCGTGACCTGAGCCGAAGTCGGAAGCTCAACCGACCGAGCCACCCAGGCACCCCGTGAAATTACTTATTAATTATAAGAGTAACTACATTGAAGAAATCAATATACTCTAACCAAGTAATCAAAATTAGTATCACCAGGGCACCTGGGTGGCTCAGTAGACTGAGTGTCCGACTTTGGCTCAGGTTTGTGAGTTTGAGCCCCGTGTCAGGCTCTGTACTAACAGCTAGGAGCCTGGATCCTGCTTTGGATTCTGTGTCTCCCTCTCTCTCTGTTCCTTCCCTGCTCATTCTGTCTTTCTCTCTCTCAAGATTAAATAAACATTAAAAAAAAAATTAAAAAACATTCATATCACTAATAAGGGGCATATACCATACCTCCAGATTTGATGCTTGAGGAAAGACATTATGCAGTATTCTAATAAAAAATGCATAACCATGAGGAAACATTAGAGAAATCCAAATCGAGGACATTCTATAAAATAACAGCCTGTGAGTGCCTGGGTGGCTCAGGCAGTTGAGTGTCTGGTTCTTGATTTCGGTTCAAGTCATGATCCTGGGGTCATGGGATCGAGCCCCACATCAGGCTCCACACTGACCATGGAGCCTGCTTAAGATTCTCTCCATCTTTATTTCTGCCCCTCTCCCCCACTTGTGCTCTCTCTAAAATAAAATTTAAAAAGAATTTTAAAAATATATAACTTAGCCTGTATTACTAAAAAGTGTCACAAATGTTATTCAAAATGTTAAATGTGAAAGAACAAGAAAGACTGAGGACATTTTGCAGACTAAAAGAGATTAAATACAATACACAATTTGTGATGGGATCCTGAACTGGGGGAAAATTTATAAAGGACATTATTGGGACAACTGATGAAATTTGAGTATGGACTATAGATTTAGAATGTGTGCGTAACATTTATTAAAATGAAAGAGCTTTCATGCTAAGAATCCACATATACCCCCACATTTAAGAAAATACACTGAGGAGTGCTAGGGTGGCTCAGTTGATAGAGCATCTGACTTCGGCTCAGGTCATGATCTCATGGCTCATGGGTTTGAGTCCTGCGTCGGGCTCTGTGCTGACAGCTCAGAGCCTGGAGCCTGCTTTGGATTCTTTGTCTCCCTCTCTCTCTGTGCCTCCCTGGCTCACACACACTCTCTCTCTGTCTCTCTGTCTCTTTCTCTAATAAAGAAATAAATATTTTTTTAAATATTAAAAAAAAGAAAAAAGAAAATACATTGATAAATATACCTGAGAAGAGAAACTGGTAAGACTAATGTACTGACAGTGTCAACAGCACTGGAGATTACAATGAACGAATTAACCACACAGGGAATGTTAGAGGAACCATCATCGCTAACCTTACTTTAAGAACAAATACAGAGAGGGGTGCCTGAGTGGCTCAGTCAGTTAAGCATCCGACTTCAGCTCAGTCATGATCTCACGGTTCATGAGTTTGAGCCCCACATCAGGCTCTGTGCTGACAGCTCACAGCCTGGAGCCTGCTTGGGATTCTTTGTCTCTCCCTCTCTCTGCCCCTCCCTGCTGTGCTCTGTCTCTGTCCCTGTCTCTGTCTCTCTCTCAAAAGTAAATAAACATTAAAAAAAAAAAAAAAAAAAAAGAGCACAGAGATTTGGGTCCTTATGTGATTTTTCAATAAAGGCTCAAGTTTCTAGAATTGAACAGAAAACTGTTTAGACACCAAAGGAAATAACTGCAAAATAGTTACCTATAAAAAATTTAGATTCTTAATTTTTACAAAAAATATCTAAAAACACACATTATACTGCCTTTTGAATTTTAATGACACTAATAGCTTTATTTAACAAACATTGAGAGACTACTATGTGCAAAGCACTGTGCTAGGTGCCATGAAAGATACAGATATGAAAAAGACATAGTCCCTGCCCACAAGGAGCGTATAATCTAGTGGGGGAGACAAATACACAAATAACTAGAATACAAGGCAGTAAACAACAGAGGGGCAGTGCTGACTGTGGCCTGAGTGTGACATAACTAGCCTCAAGGTTCCAATTTGAAACACTGGTGATCTGGTGTTGGCTGCTTTGAAAAAAATCCCATCTCAAGATCAGCATAACAGATGTTTAAATGGTCACACCCAAGCAGCTGGAGGCAAAAGACTAGGCCAGGTGGAGGGGCTGTTTGCAACTGTCATGCCTACATACGTGGTGCTGATACAAGTATGTAGGGACAGCTAAAAAACAAAAACAAAAACAAAACAAAAAAAATACATATATCATCTGTCCTTTGGTTAATGGCTATAGCTACTGTTTTAAACAATATATTTTTATATAAAAAGGAATTTGTATAATCCCAGAAAAATCAATTTAAGGATTAATAATAATTCAACAAAGAATCTTGCCATAGGCAATTTTCTTATTTACTAGTTGATTAAGTCTTTTCTCTAAATATCTATAAAGCTCTGTAGCAATTAAACAATTAGACATCTAAGTATTGCTGAGTAAAAACCTCTTATGTTTAGCCTTCTGAAGGAAATGGTCACATACCTGATAACCTGATATAATACTATTCTAATAGCAACAAGAAGGCTTTAAAGAGATTTAAGGAAAATAATTTTTAATGCTTCAAATGCAAATGGAATACACGCTGATTAAATACAATTCAATGTTCTTTGAAAATACCTCAGTGACAGCATTTGATACCAGTTAAGGCCAGCAAAATTGAAGTGAGGAAAATATCACATGTATTGTCTTTCATTGGTTTCGTAGATCATTGCCTAGGACCATGGCAACTCAATCTTTTCTTTGAAAATTCCATTTATTGGTATTGGTGAACTTTGATTTGCTTTTAGCTCATATGCTAATAACAGCTGCTGACCCCTTCCTCTTGGTAGTGCTATTTAATATAAATGTCAAAGTAGAAGCACATTTCCTGGCTGCTTTTCCTACTTCCTGAATTGGAGGATTCACTGCTTAGCCTGTTTCCTTCCGTGTGTCACTGTGATCCTGGGACCTCTGCTGCTTTCGCTCAAGGAAACGAGCACGTGCATCTGATATGGACTTATCATCATTTCTTCTTTGCATTTTCTTTAGGACTTCTTTTGAGATTCCATCTGAAAACATTATAAATTAATCCAGTTAAACTTTAGTTGTGAAACTCAGTACTAGAAATGTTAAGAGAAGGAGATGCCCTGATTTTCCAATGCCAAGGAGGAAAAAAAGAAAACTAAAATTTGCCCTTTCAAAAGAAACAATGTAGCCTATGGTTAAAAGATAAAGAGCATGCCGGCACCTGGGTGGCTCAATGGGTTGAATTTCCAAATTCAGCTCAGGTCATGATCTCACATTTTGTGAGTTAGAGCCCTGGACTGGGCTCTGAGCTGGTGGTGTGGGGCCTGCTTGGGATTCTCTCCCTTTTCTTTCTACCCCTCCCCCACTCTCGTTCTCTCTTTCAAAATAAATAAAATTAAAAAAAAAAAAAATTAGCATGGAGGAGTGCCTGGGTGGTTCAGTTGGTTAAGCATCCAACTCTTGATCTCGGTTCAGGTCACAAGACCAAGTTTGTGAGATCGAGCCCCACAATGTCAGCATGGAGTCTGCTTGGGATTCTCTCTCCTTCTCTCTCTGTCCCTCCCCTGCTCATATTCTCTCTCTCAAAAATAAATAAACTAAAAAAAAAAAAAAAAAAAAAAAAAAAAAAAAAAAAAAAAAAAAAAGAGCATGGAAAAAATAAATAAGTCAATTAAAATAAATAAATGAATGAATGCATGGAGGCCTAAAGAGCCAGAACAACTGACCCTAATTTAATCATGTACTACAGTTATATACTGCAATAGAACACTACATTTCTAAAGACTCTTCCAGATCTATTTTTCATGACATTAAAAAAGGATCATAAAATTTGCTCCATAAATCAGCCTCAGAAAGCTTTACTGAAAAGCTTTTTGTATATGTGAGCTGAGAATTAAACTTTCTGTCCTACTTCATTCAGTACAACTGTTTACACCTCCCAACTAGGGATCTCACATTTCACAGAAAAATCCCCTGGGTGGGGTGGGGGGGAGGGGAAGATGTTCTGAAGTAATAGTCACAAAATTTTATAAACAAAATAAAAACAGCAGTGGACTACTGGGAAACTGTATGGCATTATGGTTAAGAGTTTAGGTCATCACGTCAGTTTCCTTGGATTCAAAATACAGACTCACAAATTATTAGCTATGGGATTTTTCAGTAAATTATTATACACTGCTAAGTATTTCGTCATCTATAAAGGGGGGATGTGTACTTCCCTCATAGATAGGGTTATTGTGAAAACTCAATGAGGTAATTAATGCAAGTTGTTAGCACATGGTAAAAGCTCAACAGATATTGTTTTTATTAATAATGTTGTTGGACAGAGGGATTAAGGAAAACATTATTAACTGGAAGAAAAGAAGGAAGTCAAAGTATCAAAGTCTGAGACTCATGACAACTCTTTGCTTTCTGAGGAGATAGAGCCAGAATCTAAGCTCTATACAGTATTTCCATAATTATATGAGAATTTGGATATTTATGCTCCCTGGACTTAAGTTACTAGAACAAATGACTGACTCACCCTTTAGATGCTTTACATTTTCCTTATTTGTCCATCTCCTTCTTGCATCTTCTCTCACTTCACGTCGGGCCACACTGCTCAAATCATGTGCATTAAATTCATGCAACTTGGGTAACAAGTCTCTCACCCATTCATAACGGATTGGACACACAATTCTTGCGTAGACTTTGGTGGTAACTAATACCTCATGAAAAATGATCCATTCGAGTTTGGTTTCTTGTTCATGAAGCTATACAAAAGAATTTATTTAAGGATGGTTAACTCAGTAACCTGCCTTATTCCACATTAGACCAGCCAAACACTAATAGCCCCAAATCTTCTGAATTAATTCCTATATTTTTCAATCAAACAGAAGGCATGGGCCAAGCAGTGCCTTTACAGCTTTATGTAATAAAGATATATGCTAGGGGTGCCTGGGTGGCTTTATCAGTTAAGCAGCTGACTCTTGATTTCGGCTCAGGTCGTGGTCTCAATGTTGTGAGGTGGGGCTCCACACCAGGCATGGAGCCTGCCTGGGATTCTCTCTCCACCCCCACCCCCCAAATAAATAAATGGACTTAAAAAAAAACGGACTAAACATAACCACAAAGTGAAAAGTAGAAAACATTTGTGTATTACTTATTCCCATACCTTTACAAATGTCTTCCCTTTATTAAAAAATAAGACACTTAAGGGGCGCCTGGGTGGCGCAGTCGGTTAAGTGTCCGACTTCAGCCAGGTCACGATCTCGCAGTCCGTGAGTTCGAGCCCCGCGTCAGGCTCTGGGCTGATGGCTCAGAGCCTGGAGCCTGTTTCCGATTCTGTGTCTCCCTCTCTCTCTGCCCCTCCCCCGTTCATGCTCTGTCTCTCTCTGTCCCAAAAATAAATAAACGTTGAAAAAAAAAAAATAAGACACTTAAAAAATAATAATAGGCACTTACTGCTGAGGAAGGATGAATGTGGACTGGGCTTCCACGCCCATCCATTGTGCAAAATGTTCTCCCAACAGATCTAAAAACCAAAAAACCAAATGATAAAGATAAGAACACTAAAATAATTAAATAAGTAGAGCACTAAGTCTAACAATGTACAATTATAATAATGTGTTCTACCACAAAGAGTTTTATAAACAGAAGTTTAAACTTACTTGTCACTATAACTTCTCTACCAAGCCATCTTAAATAATGATACATCTTAAACAGTCATTTCAGTTAAGTAGAAACATTTCTTGTTAATAAGTATTAATGTTAACAATATTGATAATATTTATGCTTAAACATTTCTAAAATGATTTTGTAATAAATCCTCAAAACAACCTATGAGTTTTGAGAGTAAGTTACTTTTATTAAGAGGTCAAAACAGATTCAAACAAATCAACTAGCCTTCCAAAGGTCACAGAGTTAATGTATGGTGAAATCAAGTTCCAAACATAGGTCTTCTGACTTAAATCTTTATATGATGATCTCTTTTTAAAGGGATAATTTTCACTATTCTAAAATCTGATAATTAGAATTTTGCACCTATCGTTTCTGTAATTCATGTTAACTTCAAATTCGTATCCTCTTCTACAGTTCCTTACATAAATGTTATTCCAAAAACTTGTCAAAATATTAGCCCTAGTTCAACCATCACCACAGATGATTTCCTATAATACTTTATATACATTCCCATTATAACCCAGATCAGATTGCATTATAATTATTTATATACTATGCAATATATATATATACATATATGTATATGTATATACATACATACACACATATGTGTGTGAAATATATATGTGAAAAGTAGTATATGTGTGTGTGTATGTATGTATATACATATACGTATATATATATACATATACGTGTATATATATATATATACACACATACATATACGTGTATTTATATATATATATATTTGTACAGTACAAAAAAACATTTTTGAGAGAGAGAGAAATTACCTAACCAGGGAGGATAAGGGGAAGGAGAAGGGAGAGGAGAGGGGAGAGGAGGAGGAGAGAAGGAGAGGAGAGGAGAGGAGAAGAGGAAGGAAGGAAGGAGAAGGAGAACAGTGAGGAGTGAAAGCAGGCTCCACACCTAGCTCAATCCTATGTACTATGAGATCATGACCTAAGCCAAAATCAACAGTGGGATGCTTAATTGACTGAGCTACCCAGGTGCCCCCAAAAAATCTTTTTTACTTGAACCATTTGAATTAGTTACCAACCTTATGCCCCATCATCCCCAAATATCTGAGTGTGCATTTCCTATAATCAAGGACATTCTCTTAAATAACCATAATACAACCATCAAAACCAGGGAATTAACACCAATACCATCACTAACATCTAATCCTCAGACCCCACTGACGTTTTAACCAGATGTCCTAATAAAATCTTTTATAGCAAAAGAATCCAATTCAGAATCGAATATTAACTTTACGTTTCATGTCCCCTTAGTCTACCTCATTATGGCAATCTTTCTTTGACCTTCATGATCTTGACAGTTGTTTTGTTATCTATCTATCTATTTATTTATTAAGTTTATTTATTTTGAGAGAGAGAGAGAGAGAGAAAGCAAGCATGTGCGTGGCCAAGGGGCAAATAGAGAATCCCAAACAGGCTCTGTGCTGTCAGTGCAGTGCCCGACTTGGGGTTTGTTCCCACGACTGTGAGATTAGGACCTGAGCCGAAATCAACAGTCAGGCACTCAATCAACTGGGCCCCTATTTATCTTTTTTGAAAGAGAGAGAGAGCTCATGAGCGGGGAGAGGGGCAGAAGGAGAGAGAGAAAAAGTCCCAAGCAGGCTCCATGCTCAGCATGAAGCCCAACTCGGTGCTCAATCCAATGACCCTGGGATCATGACCTGAGCTAAAATCAAGAGTTGGATGCTTTACGACCCTAGCCACCCAGGCGCCCTTTGACAGCTTTTTGAATAGTAATTTTTTGTACACCCCTCAATTTGAATTTGTCTGTTTCAGGATGATTAGATTTAGGTAATGCATCTTTGCCAGGAACATCACAGAAGTTAAGCTGTGTTTTTCATTATATTCTATCAGGAAGAACATGGTTTCAATCTGTTTTATTACTAATGGTGTTCACTTTGATGGCTTGATTTGGTTACCATCTGCCAGGCTTCTCCATGAAAAGTTACTTTTTTCCTTTTTCCCTTAGTAATTAAGAATTTTGTGGAGGGGTGCCTGGGTGGCTCAGTCTGTTAAGTGTCCAACTTTGGCTCAGGTTGTGATCTCACCGTCCGTGAATGAGCCCCATGTTGGACTCTGTGCTGACAGCTCAGAGCCTGGAGCCTGCTTCAGATTCTGTGTCTCCCTCTCTCTCTCTGCCTCTCCCCTGCTCTCTCTCTCTCTCAAAAATAAACAAACATTAAAAAATTAAAAAAAAAAAAGAATTTTATGGAGAGGTGCTCAACTAATTCCATTTGTCATTAAACTTCTAATTTATTCATTTAGTAATTTATATGACTATAGACCCATGATTTCAGATTTTATTTAGTGGGCTATATAATCCATTACTATCATTATTTATTCTGATGCTTAATATGTCCTATATTTGTTCAATTGGAGCCTATTCAAGCTAGCTCCAGTGTACTTCTAACATGGCCTCAACCTTCATTGATCCCTTCTTGCTTGCTGGCAAAATAAGATGTTCTCAGCTCATCTTGTACTTTCCCACCCCTATTTCTCCAAACAGTTCTGAGTCCTTTATGTGGCAGATGGCTGTTTCAAGTCAAGATCAAGGGCACTGAGTATATTTATTGCTATTACGGTGTTACTGCTCCCAGTGCATCTGAGAGCTAGGGTATTTTTGTATGTATGTATTTACACATATACAAACACATATAACATATATATACCATAACATATATTTTCATTCCCACATGTATATATCCATCCATCTAACTATATTGAAAACCATAAGTTCACAATAAAACCCTGAAATTTCAATCCAACACCACAGGGTTTATTCTCATTTTCTCCCGTTCAGTATTTATAACTCCCTTCACCATTCCTTAATATACTGAATTATGTGATTAATTCCTTTCTATATAATGAATCTCCCATCATCACCATTGTTACCCCTTTCCCTAAGAAGATGCCCTCCTTCTCTAACACTCAGACTCTAACACTCAACACCAAACATATCCCATATGAGTGCCTTCTCCATCCTGCTCAATTACTAACATTCCACACCACCCTATCTTTCCTCAGGGATGCCATGCTCAACGTGTTTGTCTTTCATACGCCACACAGAGCCTCACTCCTCTGCAAGAAAACCCTTGTCATTCAACTTAGGTGCTGATATCCCATGCTAGACAGCTGTCCTACAAATTCCCTCCTACCAAACTTGAGTTCCAATATCCCACTCTGTGCCACTGCAGTTCCCCCGGCACAAGTGAAAATCATTAAGAGTCATTGTAATTGATGTCATCATAATCACGGAGCTTAAATAAACCACCAATCTTTAATATTAAATAGTTCAACATTGTAGCCAAATACAGTAGTATTCTTTATCCATTTCTCAAGCTCATTATTGCTTACCTTCGAGCTACATTTTTGAAATAGCCTGCACAAAGACATCTCCGTAGTACTTCATGTTTAGGGCCTTCAAAGGTCTCTCTTGGGAAATCACTTTGCTATAGAAAGAATATATATACAGTGGTAATCTCACAGAATAATATGAAATGATCTTTTATTTTGAAAACTACATGTTTCTAAAGACTTCTGTTTCTGGCCATATGAAGTAAGAGGGATTAGATTTACACTTCTGCTTGAAACAACCAAAAAATGTTTTATATGAAATAATGATTTCCAAAACACTGTATATCAAGTAATAAAGGACAGTGATCTCTGAGAAGTAAATGAAGTATGGGAAATAAGTGAAGTAAGTCCAACAACTGCCCCAGGTTACGGTCAACCTTGAGAGAGATTCTAGATGAAGGGTCAGGGAAGGAAAAACCCAGCGGAACCTGAAGAACACCCTGAGCTACAGAGGCAGAGCTGAGAGTCCAGGAAGACCAAGATGGCTAGAGTTCACAGGCCAAGAGTTCAGGAGAGAAGAGAACTCAGATAGAAACAGAACTCCAGAGATCTGCAGGAGAGCCTCTGCCAGTGTTCAACTGAGCACTAAATTAGCATATAAATGTGAGGAAACTACCCAAGGCCAGGGAAAGAACTTCCCCAAAGGATAACAGTGAACAGTGCTTGGTACTCACGCACACAGTTAGGAATGGGGTCTATTCCTACAAACCGGAGATCAGAATACCTCATAATTTGCATAGTTTGGGGTACAGTACTCAGAGAATCTTGCCAAAATTTGACTTAAGAAAAGATCACTATAGCAATCACCTGTTTAAGCTTCCTGATTAGTTCTCGAAGTTGAGCTTCAACACGAAATGCTGAAAATAAGCATCTCCAATGAATCCAGTGTTTTTGGCACCACGAAGCTGGAGCTCCACTGCAGAACAAAAATACTGGTATCTTTAAAATACCCTCTCGAAGTGAAAGTCTAACAGGTGCACCTGGCGGGTTCAGTCAGTAGAGCATGTGACTCTTAATCTCAGGGTCATGAGTTGGAACCCCATACTGGACATAGAGTTCACTTAAAAAAAAAAAAAAGGCAGTCTAACATTCTCATTTCTATTACAAAACTAAAAACAAATAAGCATCAGTTAGCCCTTTTATGAGACCTGTCCCATTACTGAGAAAGCCACTTAAGGAATTTGAGGAAACAAATTAATGTAGATGCCTCTGAGTGAATTAAAAATAATTTGTAAATTAATTTCTTTTTATACATATATGGTTTAACAAATATCCAATCATTTTCTCATCTAAGGTACTTCTAGCGAATCAAAATTCTATAAGGTCATTTTCTTTTTTTTTTTTTTCATGTTTATTTATTATCGAGAGACAGAGAGACACAGAGCGTAAGCAGGGGAGGGGGAGAGAGAGGGGGAGACATAGAATCTGAAGTAGGCTCCAGGCTCCCAGCTGTTGGCACAGAGCCCAACCCGGGGCTCGAACTCACAAACCGCGAGATCATGACCTGAGCTGAAGTCGGATGCTTAAGCAACCTAGCCACCCAGGCGCCCCTATAAGGTCATTTTCAAGAAAGAATTAG